TGAAGCATTACAGTGATACGCCTTCTTCTACTGTAAATACATGAAGCATATTACCAATAAAACATATTTGTGTAATCCAACAAATGTATGAAGCATTACAGTGATACGCCTTCTTCTACTACTGTGGATATATGAAGCATATTACCAATAAAACATATTTGTGTAATCCAACAAATGTATGAAGCATTACAGTGATACGCCCTTCTTCTACTGTAAATATATGAAGCATATTACCAATAAAACATATTTGTGTAATCCAACAAATGTATGAAGCATTACAGTGATACGCCTTCTTCTACTGTGGATATCCATATTACCAATAAAACATATTTGTGTAATCCAACAAATGTATGAAGCATTACAGTGATACGCCCTTCTTCTACTGTGGATATCCATATTACCAATAAAACATATTTGTTACTCCAACAAATGCATGAAGCAGTGTGGATATATATTAAGCATATTGAGATGACAAGCCTTTATGGATAATCAACTTCTTAATTTTAACAATGGCTACTTTTCTGTATAGATTCTTATACCGTTTTCAAGCATAAGAATCTATACTGAAACGTCGCCATTGTGAAAATAAAGAAGTTGATCATCCATAAAGTCTTGTCATCTCTATACCACCAACTTCTAGAATGCCACTCAAACAAATTATGAAGCATATTACCAATAAATCATCTTTTTGTAATCCAACAAATGTATTAAGCACCACAGTGATACGCCATTCTTCTACCGGGGATATATGAACCATATTACCAATAAAACATATATCTTACTCCAACAAATGTATGAAGCATTACAGTGATACGCCCTTTTTCTTCTGTGGACATATGAAGCATATTACCAATGAAACATTTTTATCCAACAATGTATGAAGCTAGGAACGCTGTAACTCCAGGGCCTAGATTTTCGAAGCTCTCTTAGCTCTAAGATAGTCGTAAGTTAATGCTAATGTATGGCACTTGCGACTATCTTAGCGATAAGGGAGCTTCGAAAATCTAGGCCCTGATCTTTAAGATTTGTTGTAAGTCCGTGGAGTGTAATGCACTGATCGGACCTCCAACAACTCTTGGAATTGTTTGTTTGTTTGTTTCTTTGTTGTTTCACGTCGAGTGCGGCATTAAAGAACTAATGCTCTTCGCGGTATCATTTTACCTAGTTTGTGTTTGCTTTGTGTATGTTGTGGTTGTAGCAATAACGGTGTCCTATACAAAATTTCAGTGTGATGTATTCGGGTGACGTGTTATTTTGGGTCATCGAGCATATCAACTGGTTGGTCCCTTTCGCCATAACAACTACAGCTGCAACTGAAGGCAAACCGCTGTAGTTTATCATAGAGACCATGAAACAAATATGCCGTGCAGCCCATGCAAGTCTAGAATGTGTGGCAAGTCTAGATTACCAGAGTTTCTGAAAATGAAGAGGGTCCCTGCTCCTTCTATTATGTTTTATTAACATAATTTAGAAGCCGTTAAACATGTTCATTTAAGAGACCATATGTCAGCCGAGCCCACTCGTAAAGATCGGAACCAGTTGGAACTGGTCTTCAGCAAACCATGCTGGGGAAAGGGGAATAAGAGGTTTGGGTGGGTGGGCTCGCTGACTGGGTTGATGCATGTCAAAGAGTCACACTTGGGTAAATTGATGCTTATGATATCAATCACTGGATTGTCTGGTCCAGACTTGATTATTTACAGACCGCCGTCATTTAGCTGGAATATTGTGGCGTTTAACAACGACAAACAAAACTAACCCGATTAATACAACACTTATGCATTCTAATGTTTTTTGGTCGTGCACGTGCATATATATGCTATATATCAGATATATGGCGGCGGTCTGTAAATAATCGAGTCTGGACCAGACAATCCAGTGACCTGCGCAATTGGGAACCAATGACATGTGTCAACCAAGCCAGCGAGCCTGACCACCCGATCCCGTTAGTCTCTTAGGTATTATGCATATTCTGATACATAGACACGTACATGGTTATCAAGTATATCGAGAAGTAACTTCCGTCTTACACATGGGAGATTGCGGAGTTGAACGTTAAACGACAAACCAGCAAAACAGGAAGGAGTGGGATATCCGTTCTTATCCAACCGCAATGTCACATTGTAAAGGAGTTTAAAATGAAGTATTGACAGAAACCGTATGAGATGTGGTCACCGTCTGTCAGGGGCGGTGGGGTAGTCTAGTGGTTAAAGCGTTCGCTCGTCACGCCGAAGACCCGGGTTCGATTCGACATGGGTTCAATGTATGGAGCCCATTTCTGGTGTCCCCCGCCGTGATATTGCTGGAATATTGCTAAAGGCAGCGTTAAAAACTAAACTCACTCACTGTCTGTTAATGAGGATTCCTGGAGACTTTATAAACCAGCCCCTTGTACATTTAACACTCGGAAGCTTTCATTTAGGGTCGTTCCGAAACCCTAAACATGCAAATGTAAACAAATTCAAATGTAACGTGTCTTTTCGAGGAAATAAGATCTATTCGCGTCTTCATAAGAGGGACTACGGTAAATCCTTGAATAGATACATCTATTTATTTCAGAGACGTCTTCTAATTGCGATAGCCACATTTATTTAGAGAGGACGAGTAATTTCAATAAAAGATGTGGGGTTTGCATTTTATGATAAAGATTAGAGGAATATCTAAGTCGGAACCTGGCAAATATCCAATGCAGGCGTTTATGTTTTTCGTGAGTCTGTCAGACCCGTCGTGAATAAAATCCAGGCGTCTATTTGATTATTTACGGCATGTTTTAAAGATTATAGTCAGCAATATGCATATATATAACCGTTCACCTATCGCTCACACGTGTTATTACGAGGCCCATAAAAGCATGTCGATTTCGTTGATATCACTGATGCTTTGGTGTGTATATTTACGCATAGTGAATTTATGCCTTCCTAAACAGATTAGGGCGTTATAAACGAACCTTAATAATACCACGGTAAATTTAAACAGTCGACCCCGTTCCAGGCTCACCACTTGTTGATAACATAAGCATGATTCAATCTGTTGGGATGAAGGATGACGTAGCAAGTAAAATCACGCGATCCTCATTATACGGCTATTACGGTATATCGAGGAATAACATTTTCTACCAAATCATTAAGTGCACCTATTACATTCGAAGTCTGTGAGTGATTAATATTTGACATCGTTTCAGCTTTTTTATGGATATTTAAACACGCAAGTGAACCATTTAATAGCCTAGGGATTGTTTCGTTTGGCAGTTTTATTATTCATGTGCACTTTATAATGTGTATAAACATGCATTATTCAATATCGCAAAAGGTTGTCAGCATGGAAATAAATCAAGAGCGAGTTAGTTAGAACGTTGTGTTGAATGACCCCATTTAACAGCTTTCTGTTGTAATTTCATGGTAAACATATGGAGCACTGTATCTTGGAGGAGTAATCCCGGTCTAGACTAACATCTAGTCTCTGAAATGAAAATATTTTACAGAAAAAAACAGTTCCTAAATCATAATCATAAAATATAATAAAAAGGAGCCCAGAGACTTTCTTCATTTTCAGAAACTGTGGAAATCTAGACTTGCCACATATTCTAGACTTGCATGGGCTTTCTTGGATATGTTTGTTTCAGGGTCTGCATGACAGACTAACCCTAGTCATAAGAGCTTACCGGTAAAGGTCCGGGTTAGAAATTGATCTTCAGTAACCCATGCTTGTCGTAAGAGGCGACTAACGGGATCGGGTGGTCAGGCTCGCTGACTTGGTTGACACATATCATCGGTTCCCAATTGCGCAGATCGATCCTCATGCTGTTGATCACTGGATTGTCTGGTCCAGACGCGATTATTTACAGACCGCCGCCATATAGTTGGAATATTGCTGAGTGCGGCGTAAAACTAAAAAACTCACTCACTCATAAGAGCTAAATTACTGCGTGAGGATGGATGGTAGGATTATAATGGGGTCCACCCTGGAATTCGAACCCAGAGTCAGCGGATCCTTGTCCAGGTAAGGGATGTAACTCTACGCAAGGAATCGATCTTTTACACCGATACAATATTTACCTGTAGTTCAGCTGATAAATAAATCGATATATAAGATAAGAATCAATAAATAACAACTCATTATTAATCGGAGCCCAGCTGCCATGGAAACATCATGGTTACTGGTTGATGGCTATGATTTAAAATTATCACATGATCTTTTGTCTCCTATGCATGTGAGTCTTCGGTAGGCTCAGTCTTCAGTGATAAAGTTAATTTGTACAAAGTTTAATCACATTCTCGCTCTCCGTCTAAATTAATGCATAAACGACTTCAAATAACTCTCCTTGGGCCTTTATGTCAAATTTCCTTTCAATATTTATCATGTGTTTGTTCAAATGAACAAAAACACATTCATAAATAAATACGCCATATTGACAGTATCGATTTGATATGTAGTTAATGACAAAACAACAATTGTGAGTATTAAAGTGTAATGATGTGGGTACAATTGGTATGAATAAAATATGTACTGGTTTAATATCTCTGGAACATAATTGAACCTCAACGCGGCACGTTGCATTCATTAAACATCTTGCAGATAACGAAACTGACCCATTTCTAGCGAAAGGTCAAACCCAGACAATAATTGTCGGGTTGTGTTCTTATGACGCAACTTGGTAGCGGTGAAAACGTCACGTTTATAATTTTAGACATAAGTGGAACAGCGATCTTGTTGCACGAATACCACGAGCTTATAAATTAGGTCAACAACCGCGACCCATTTGCACTCCTATTTGGCAAGAATACCTATTATCTTCTACGCACAATCCATAGAATCAGCCCTAACAATGGCTCCGAAAGTGTATTAAAGCTGCGCTGTTGATTAATACAGCCCCCTGCAATCGATTTCATATCAACAGATGTGTATTTCAACCCGTTTGCGGAGGCGTCGGCATGTCAACTATTATAACAACCTGCCCTACCTGTCGTGAAAAGTGGACTGGTCCAAATAATAGCTGGGAAGCCATGGAGCATGTTTGAATGGAAGTCGGTCTAAATCATGTAGAGAATGTGTGTCATCCTGACCAGAGACTTTCATCCACTGGATATATCTGGATGATTAACGCTGTCCTTACGATCACAGTGGATGACACCACAACGTGTCTCGTCGCCAGCAATCGCCATTACAGGTAAGAAAACCCCGAAGCAGATTTACGGCGCGAGATAGCTCGTGAACCCGCAGACCCAATTCGCGAGGTTTCCACGAGGTGGGGTAATTCAGCCTTCAAGCAGACACGTCCGAGGCCTGGATCCGCGGTTCATTCCCGATCACCAGACGTGTTATACAATATGGTGTACATAACTTGTAACCCGAGCGGCAGAAACAGCGAATATTTCCATCTCAACCGAACTATTTTGCGAAGGGTTATTGCGGTGTATGCTGTTTTAATTGTCGGGGGGAATTTAGTATACTGTTGTGCGTTACGTTAGTGGAGCTTGTTTCTGTAGTCGGATTTTATCGCCACTAGCTGATTTCTGCATCACTAATGTTGCGGATTGTTTGTAGCACATTGACGTCACGAGACTCCGGCCTGTGTGTTTTTTTTCAGTCTAAAAGAATAGTGACCGAGACATTTTTATCGCATAGCTAGGAGGGGAATACTGGATTACGCAATATGGAATCACCCAAAACAGGGGGGAGGTGATTGGAACCTGGTTCGAAGCAGGAAGTTGGTATCAATTTGTTGATTGGGCCCTCTAAACTACTCGATAATTTCGGCAGCTTTCGGACTTCCAATGTCGCCACTTGTTTTTTGGTTTTGTGTTGGTATACCGTCTAGATAAATTAATTTTTGTTTCTTTTAAAGAAATTTGACTTTAATCTAAAGGCAGTAACAATAATTGAGTGGTCATATTTTATCCTTTAGGCACAAACTTGATGGTGATTTGTAGTTTATTTGGATAAGGTGTGCTGTTTTATTCATATTTAGTTGTTTAAAGTGTGGGTTTTGTTTGTTGTTGTTTTCATAAAATGAAACAAGCGAGTTATATTGTCTTGTATCGATACAATTAAAAGGTAATTGGTTACAATTGTTATTGTACATACAACAGTCCATAGCTGTGATAAATTAGAATTGAATATAAATCAATTGGTGAAATTGTCATTTTCAAACAATATTCCCATCTGCTGATTAAAAAGAGAGTATATTGTTTATTAGGTGAATTTAATGTTAAGGATATTGTATTAATCTCCAGTATTCTGTTCTCAATAGCTTACTATTTACAAAGTGTATAAACTCGCTGTCAATGTGTCATCGATATTGCCTGTAATAATGCTGATTTTACATTTTAACTCACTCAGTCAATATTATTTACAATCTCCTTAAATAGATATTTTATCTTTACTTGTCTGAATATAAATCAGATTTAAATTTCACTTGTTCAGATTAAGGAGGGAAAATATACCCTGAAACATCTTCCTCAGGGACGTTTATAATTTATGGCTAGGGGGATGATGATGATTTTGAGGGTGGGTCACCCATTTTGGTCTGGGGAGCTAGGGGGGTCATAAATTTTGTGCACATTTACTAGGGGAGGGGTAAGCAATTTTGTACATAAAAATATGTTTAAAATTATGCTTAGAAATTATGGGAAGGGGAAGGGGGTCGTCATTGATTTTGTACATGACATGCAGGGGGGTCCCTTATTTTGTACATATATTTTAGTGGGGGGACATGCTTCTCCATAAAAATCAACATCACCCCACCCCCAGCCCCAGCCATGAGTTGTGAACGGTCCCTTATTATAAAGAAATTTACATACATCAAGATTCCCTGTAACAGTATACTAACACGAATCACTTCTAAATGCCATTCAAAGACTTGGAAATTCTAGATGTTTTAAAAATTGGTTAGTATGCATAATATGCATTAGGCATATATCAAATAATCCATCTGTTCCTTTATACATGAATTGTTGGGGATTTATTGTTTTCAGAACAGTGCTGTATGATTACTTGGGTAGTTCCATCCAATCTCTATTGGCATAATTTTTATGTGTCATGTTCAGTGTCAAATGATATTACAGATATGGATCGCTCTAAGAATGTCAATTTCATCAAAGGTCAAGGCCTGTGCAGCCACACTGTTACAGAAATGGTGTTCAGTGCATGCATAAAGGCCAACAGCCTATATACACAAGGACACCGGGAAACATCTTTTGTTGTTTTCATATCATTGTGCTGGGGTTCTATTTTTGATCTGAATCATTTTGTTTCAAGAAACGAGTCCTGAATTCAATGTTTCTTTAGTTTCCAGAGACTGATGTACATGTCTGTGTTCACGTTTTTTAATTCTATTTTTCTTTATTTAATTAGGCCAGACCAATTTTATTTCTTGTTTTAAGGATTTTTGTCCTCAGAAAACCTAAAGGCAGGAGGGGAAAAAAATAAGAATAACATCACCAGTCAAAGTAATATTCCTTCTAAATATTAAAAGCATTTTACTTTTGGCAACGTTTCGACATAGGTTCTTATGTCGTTGTCAACGTTTCAACATTGGTTCAAATGTCGCTTTGACAACGACATTAGAACCTATGTCGAAACGTCACCTCCACAATTAAAGATGTTGTATATCCATAATAATTGTCATTATTCTTCAGATTAAATTTGTTCAAGCCGATGACCCGATGCCTATTAGAGGCAGATATGTATTAGTGAACCAATGCAATTTAAAGGAATGTGAGTGAGTTTAGTTTTACGCCTCTTTTAACACTATTCCAGCAATATCACAGCTGGGGACACCAGAAGTTGCCTTCACATGTTGTACCCATGTGGGGAATCGAACCTGTGTCTTCAGAGTGACGAGCGAACGCTTTAACCACTAGGCTAACCCACCATCCTGAAATATAAAGGACCAGCTCAGGGGTGGAAATAACTTTAAAACTTTTAGTGTACTCCGGTACAGTGGCACATGTAAAATCACTTGCCCTGATAATTTTTCCACTATACCGTCCGTTTTCTTGTTAATTTTTAAATAAACAACATAAATAATATTGGAAAGTCAACTGGACACCGGTACAGTGTGATATCCAAATTTGCTTGCCCGACAAAAAAACCCACTGGACTCGGGTGTCGGGCAATGGGTTATTTCCACCCCTACAGCTGGGTCACTGTGTTTCATATTTTGACAGACCAGAAACTTGGTTCATTCTTGCTTGAAGCTGACTGTGTTTCAAGGACCATACCGTTTGCCAGCACCATACTGGACTAACACTAAGTCTCTGATTATATATGATTTTGATAGTAACAATTAAACCAATTTATATTGAAAAGGAGCCCAGGTGGGATGGGAGATTTAGAACCTGAGGAAATCTTGACTTGCTTCATTCAGGACTTTAGCATTGCAGGGAGGGCTGTGTGGAAGGTAGTGGTGGTCCGATTAATTGAAATAGTCGAAGATTGGTCGCTGTGGCCAAATGACCAAGCAATCGATCACATTTTCTCATAATCGAACACAAACGCATTTGGAACCGCTGTAATAGAGTTTGAAATACTTGATGATAGAACATATCTAGGACGTTGTCAGGGCCTGAAAGCGTGTTTATTTCTAAGAAAACTCACTTCACTTTCTGAAAAGTCATGACTGAATATTTCTTAAAGAATCTGGGAAGTTTATGTTACACTGGAACTGAATCATTTTACACTGGATGTGAAATTTGCAAATGTAATTTGTGCAGTTTCTAAAAACAACAACAGAGAACCAAATGTTCATAATTGTGAGATTTCAACCAATTTCCAACAGTAGTGGAAGGGAAGACAATACGGTTCAGGAACTGTGAGACAGACAGTTAATACCGTGAAAGTCTTACTCCGAGGACAGCGATAGACAAACGCTTAGTCTCTGAAACAAATAATCCCATTTATATTGAAAAGGAGTCTCAGTGAGATGGGAGATTCAGAACCTAAGGAAATCTAGACTTGCATCATTCAGAGCTTCAGCATTGCAGGGAGGGCTAGGCTGTAGGGGAAATAATGTCGTTCAGGGACTGTGAGACTGACTAGAGGCAGGCATCGTATTATAGGCCCAGTGATATTTAGATGACCAGCTGGGTCAGTGAGTTGCATCGTTTGACAGACCAGAAACCTAATTATCCCCTGCCGCTCGTTTAGCGCAAAGCGGGCAATATAGTATTCAGAGACTAAGCCGTCACGTCTACGTACGTACGAATTGGAATATCTTAAGAACCGTTCACTAGATTCTTTTCATATTTGGTACCTGGGTTCATCACACTATAAGAAAGGTTTGGTGACCTTGACCTTCATTTCATTTGGTTCAGTCTTGGTTGAAGCTAACTATAAGTATCAATTGGACTTTGCTCCTATGTTCAGTTTACTCATCTTGTCTGATCCATATCACCGTTTAATACCTGTAACTGTTTGAAATCACATCCACATTTGAAAGAAACCTATAAATTGTAGGGCTAACGGTGTAATGCGGTATTAGTAGAACCACAGTATTTTGCCTTCGGTTGGGTATACCGTAATGCAATCCAAAAATTTGGTATTTTCGGTTTTCGTACTGTCATTTCATTATTAACCTTTTTGAACCTTTCTAAAATGTCTACAAATCAAATCTTTTGTCAAAATCTATCTAGGTTTAGCTCTTATTGTCAATTTTCTGCATATGATCATATCTCATATACTGAAACGGACCAAACCGAAGGCCTTGTACCGCAATACGTACCATACCGTGGTAAGAGCATACTGTTTAACCCCTAATAAGTTCTAAATACATTGGGTTCATCTCCTTATTGAGAACTGTTTTCAAGAATATTATACTTCATTGTCCCCGTAAAGATCCGGATTAGAATTAATCTTCAGCTACCCATGCTTATCGTAAGAAACGACAAACGGGATCGGATGGTCAGACTCGCTGACTTGGCTGACACATGTCATCGTGTCCCCATTGCGTAGATTGATATGCTCATGCTGTTGATCACTGGATTGTCTGGTCCAGACTCGATTATTTACTGACTGTCACCATGTTGCTTGAATATTGCCGAGTGCGGCGTTAAACAACCAACAAACCAACCATGTTTCATTGGTTCACTGGAAGTCGTCCTTGTTGATTCTAGGAAGTATATATGTCTATTATTGGAGTTGCGGTGGGGTAGCCTAGTGGTTAGGGCG